AGTCGGCCCAGACCAAACCTTACAAGAGAAAGAAAGCGACACAGACCCAGCCGCCTACGGAACCTTCCAAAGACACCACTGTGCCGCCAAGTCCCCCTCAACATCAGCGCCCATCACCCCAGCACTACGACCCATCATCCAACTGTCAAACGCTCTCTTAATAGATACCTCGGCCGACTCACAATCACAATCAGTGCACAATAATGAAACCAATAAACCAAGCTGCATTTACTTCTCCTTCCGTCGCCCCTCGACTGGTAACGACGAAAATAATACCTATGACAGACCTTTACAAAAAAATACAAACAAAAAACAACCCATCACCTTCAACCGTCTGCTTACGAAAACTAGCTTCCTTGCACGCTAAGTTTACATCAGATAGTCCCCTTCCTTCTTCGCCACTAGCCAACACACCATCGCCGGGCGCTGGCCTGGCAATCATCAGGCGCCAGCCAGTGAAAGTGGGTTTTCCCGTTCTCCACCAACTTTAATTCTAGGCATTAGATTTATAGATCCCCCGCCGCCCTGAAGTCCAACATTGGCCGTTGGTTTTCTATTTGTTTTTTGCTTGCTACCACATCATCAACCATGAATGTGCTCCTCAAAATTATCAGGTCATTCTTTATTTTTTTCACGTAGCCATTCCAAACGTTTTATATAAAATATACTTTCACGATTTTTCTCAATGTCAGAACTTTAGTTTCATAGAGAAATATATGGGGATCTACATGAAATTAAAAATAAAGGTGCTTTCAGTGATAATAAATTAACTTGATTTGCTCTGGATTTCAACCAAATATTTTCATAGTTGTCTTAAATTTTGGTGTTAAATATTATGTAAGTTTACCAATTCTTGAAAACGTTTACAAACAAAAATTGAACTTGGTGAAATTGGTTCAGTAAAAAGGAACACAGTATTGCGAAATTTTAATTTTCGGCTTAGAAAATTTGTTCTGTTTAGCATTGATTTACGACAGGAGGCAAGGCCTTTTACAGCTAAAATAATATATCATTGTTCTGAAAACCCCATGTCATTGTATTACATTTCACCATACATACGGTTAAGTATCCAACTTTAACTAATGTGATTTGAAGAGCTGGAATTGTAATAATTCCTATCAAAACTGACTAAAGATTTGCAAAACCAAATTCAAACTTCTACAAATTTTTCACTAAAACTAATGTCAATTAGTGATATATGCCTATTACTGTTTACCTATCAAACTTTGAGAAGCACTGTACAGAGCTGCCTCTGTAATAGCATATGAAATGGTTACTTCGATTTTTTGAAAAGTAATGATACCAGGGCTCACGATAGTACATCTGATTTCCTGCACTTTTGTGTTGATTTTAGCATGTCAAATTTGTTTCTGCCAGCTAACAGTTCACATTCTCCTATTAATTTCTATTTCGTTGAAGAACAAAAATGAGCCTCAATAAACATTTTAACCAAACGTTAACTTCAAAATGGCCTTTCCCTGCATGTCATGCAATTTATGCATTCGTTTGGAAAATCAGTTTCGAAGGTTAAGATAAGCCATCGTTTCTTTCATTTACTGTAAATCAAACTTATCCGTTCCAAGAGATGTATGACTGCTTCTACTGAACAATCTTTGACAGTTTAGTGTTTTCCATATTTAGCCGATCATTATCATCACATACTAATTGAAAATTATAGCTTGCTTTTTGCATATTACAGGTTGCTATTTTGATCCATAACTTATTAACTTGACAAAAATATCATTGCATGCTCGATCATTGTTTTACATACATCCTAGACTTTTTAGACAGCGGTATTGACGCCTGATTACTAAAAGTAGATGAAGTTTCTGCATGTTCTTCAGACTGTGAGGATTCCTGGAACACAGTCTCAAGGTCTGTGATGTCGGATAAAACTGAAATCACTGAAGTGTCACCATCTGTAGATTTTCTATTCATCTGTTTAAAAGAGGAATAAAAGTGAGCAATTATCACATACTGCACTGAATTCACCATTCATTATAAGAATGAAAATACATTAATGGCTAATGTACAGTATAATGTGATTGATTTGGCTAGGAAACGCCAAGCATTCATTTCTAAATTATTTATTACCCTCAACCTTGTTGCTGAAACATATTGAACAACTGCAAGCAATGAAAGTTGTGCTTATTTCCCCAAATACAATTGTAATACTCTTGTTTTTTGGCTGATAAGGAAGTTTTACTGTATTATCTCCTCCTTCCCCCCAAAAAAACAACAACAAACAAATAACATTGTTCCGAAATGTCAACTGCCATCTAAAGCCACTTCTGAGGAACCATTTTCTTAACTGAGTCTCTGACGCTACTCACTTCTTGACCACTGAAATTATTTAAGGGTTACTTAATTACTATGTTTACTTTACCTCCTTATCACAATAACATAAAAATAGGCAATCTTAATGACAATGATAGCCTATCTATTGTTTTTAAATAGGTTGATCGCTGTTGAATGTTTGCAAAAATGCTGACTCTGTTGATCAAGTTTAGTGGCCCACTGATAAAGTACCGCATAAATTATTGGTGAAATAATTTGCTCCTCACAAAGCTCAGCATGCATACAACTGCATAAGAATTTGTTGAAATAATAGTTCACAAAATGTTTTAAGTAAGAATACGACCGCTCTTCTGTTGGTGAAACTGATGTCAGTTTTTGTCCAATGATGAGATTAGAGTAGCTTTCTAATACTAATGAAGGCATTCCTCCTTTAATGAAATTTAAGTGTGAAATCCATTCTGAAACTGTCATATCACTACTTTTATTAGACTGATCAATAACACAAATAAAAATGCACTTTTCTTAGAACAATTTTCACACTTTACAGAAGTCTTTGAAATTGGTGAAGCTATCTTTCAAGAATTAGTAAAGTATCATAAAGAATTGGCATGCTTAGAAACAAACAATGTAGATGATGCAGCAACAGAGTAGCAGTCTCAAGATCATATCCATCCCATAATATGCCTTAAGCTAATGTAGTATCTCTCACAGTCTCTTTTGTGGGACTTGTTCACACGTAATGGACAAAAATCAAGCAACTTCTCTGTCTTAACTAAAGTAATATTATTCTGTACTTGAGGTTGCACAATGTATGGATGATAGTGCCTATCAAATGCAACTGTGTTCCATAACTCACACACTAAAATAACAGTGGAATTGTATGTAACCCCATACCCAAAACTATGTCTCCATCCTCAGTTTTATTGAGAACAACCATGAGATTTTTGCATCAGTTAACAACAAACACCTCATCATAAAGAGGAATTTCTATGTTCTGAGCTATTTCAGCTGAATTATCAAGAGAAACTAAGATCACTGACCTACCAAGCCCTACCTCAATTACTCTTTCTGCTATTTTTCTCTTGGACATTATGCTAAAACTCGACAGCATTTGATTTCTGAATGCTAGGGTCTTTGCAATTTTTTTTTGAAAATTACAAATTATATGTGACAGTCGCCGTGAAAAGTTATGAAATACTTGAAACCTCATTACCCAATAATGAATAAGGAGTCCAGAGAGATGCATAAGAGATGGGTAATGGATCATAAAATGGTGTTTTGGTTTCAAATGGCGATTGGAAAATAGATGCAAATAAAGCATGTGGTTGTCCTTGATCAGTTGTTCTAAATATTTTGTTTCTCCTTTGCTTATTGCAGGAGAAACAAATGATGCCCATGCAGTCTAGCAATACAATAAGTAGTTCCCAAAGCTCATCCTCTTCAGGTACAAGATCCCTTAAAATTAGAGTAATATGTCTCATGAAACATCACATCTGGCCAGCATTTTGTCCAGTTGCACCATCTGGGGAACAAATAGCATTCATGTTCAACGTACATGGCTTGTTTCTCTTATTTGGCAATCCATAATTATAATTGGTAATTCTTGCATTTTGCGTCTCAAGGGTAAAATACCCCTTCCTGATTAGTTCTTTTTATACTAACTTTAGCTCCAAAGGACAAACACCCTTTAATAAGCCATGCATGACATCTGGAGCACAATTGTTAATTATATGGAAATTGGTCACATTGTTCAGTGGGCATTGGCATTCTACACCAGTTTCCTGCAAGTTTTATGCATTTAGGTCATGTTCATACTTTTCATGTGTTCTGAGTGCAACTTCTTATTTAAGCAATTCCTTCTTAGTGTCATCGTGATGCATTTTACAAATTTGGCAAGGGTAGTTAGCAGTGAAATCCTCTGCAAACCTAAACAGTGAATGTACGCCAAGGTTATCGCGTACAACTTGAGCAATTCTAGCTTTAACATCATTTCCTTGAAAAAAATCTGTGCAAATATAAAGGGTCTCAGATGTCAATAAATTGATATCTTAAATAAACTATGCAAACAATGGATTGTAACTAGTTTCATCACTAGAGTTGAACAAGATCAACAGAAATCTATTTGATAATGCTGCTCTGTACTTGGGAGGGACATTGGCAACTGTAAAATACACAGCCCCTAATTTGTGTGTGCCAGCCTTCTTGGATTATGTGAGTTTGTCGCATCAAAATCATCAGTGTATGGAATTAGTTTGATGGTATTTGCTGAGGCTAAAAATGCACTTTCTCCACAAAGGGAGCCATTATGGAAGTTTCTCAGTAGATTATCACTGCTTGGTGATTTTCACTGATGCTATTTTCAGAATGTCAGTTGTTTTCAATAACAACTTTCAATAGTAACTGGATTGTTACAAGGAAAATATTCAATTCTTAGTGGAAGTTCTTCTGCTTGTATAAAAAATTCACTATATATTTTGAAAATATTACTTTTGTTTGTACTCTGTTTGAAGATACTTGAACGGATAAGAAACAGCTTCAAAATCTTAAAGAAGACTTTATAGGTTTTCATTATGTGCTGGGATTCCAGTAGCTGCAGCAAATCATTGTGTCCTCTGCTTCATATACAAAGATATGTCCTCTATCAAATCAGTTGATTTTTGTACAATCTTATTAACAGTTGTATGAACCAAGATGCTACCAATCTAGCTATTAGCACGTTGTTTCACTTCCTCAATATCAAAAGCATCCATCATATTACCTATGCTTTCATCATCATCATCGTCTGGGTCACTATTATGCTCATTACCAGGCATAACACATGGTTCCACAATACCATGTCTGTGATTTTTAAATGTTTTCTATGTATGTTCTACCTGGGAATGTTCTCTCACAGCCATTTTGGCTACATCTGACACTTTCAGTAAAAACACGGCCATGCACAATGATATGTACATTCTGCAGATGCCAGATCAAGAGTTTATCACTACCACATGACCACACTTTGGGCAAACATATCCCATTTTGAAACAACTGTACTGTACAGTAATTATTCATTTTTAGCCTACCTTATTCTCACTGACTCACACTCTAAAGTAGACATATGAAGCTTAGGCTTCATGTATGGTATGTTCGCATGGTAGGATACTACTAACGGAAAAAAGATGAGCAACTAAAAAATGCTGACGACTCCAAGAAACTGCCGATACAATTCATGAAAATTATCAAAATCAATCTTATGAAAAGATAAACGATAAAATGTTCTCATCTTTAAAGTTTTGAATGACTTACTCCAAACCCAACTCTTTTACCTTAGATTCAACAGTATCCATTTCACTTGGTTGGCGAGAAAGATCTAATAATGGTGCTTGCCCGCCGTGCCTTTGGATGTGTCGATGACCGATGTTAGTCACGTGAACCGTCTCAACCAATTATATGAGTTCCTCCTCATAGACTCAAAATTTATCTGATCAGATGGAGACGATGAATGACTTCATTCATTTTTATCCCAATCATAATAAATATATGGTCAGGAATCTAGTCAGAGTGAACAACAACTGATAAAATTATTTTGATCACGTATCGGTGTTAAACAAATAAACCGGACATATTTTGATTGGACCTCTGTTTTGAATATCATTCTCTCTTGAAATCTGCTGTATTCTGAGGATCTTGCGAGTGATGACCTTTAAACTTACACCTGTAATCATTGAAATAAACTTGCAAATATTATAATTGACGACATGTGAATTCAATGTAATTTGTAAAAGCTTATTATTTTTCGTTTAGTACTTCTTAAAGACACTGCCCCAACAATAATCACGGGTTCGATGACGAGGAACCCACTTTCAGACTAATAATGGTTGGAGACGGCTTGAATGGGTAATAAAAAAAAACACCTTAATATAAGTTTGACATAACAGCAAATGTACAACGTTTCGACAAGGTTTTGTCATCATCAGGT